AGACAGACCTTCTCAGAGAGGGAGACGTCCCGGTTCCGTACCCCAGCAAGTTTAAAGATGCATGGGACGATGTGTCGGTAAAAATGCCCTGCTCTGAGAAAAACCTGTTTCCCGTGGAGACGGAGGTAAAACAACATTAGCTGCTTTACTACCTTTAATAGGAGCTGGCTAAGCTTATGTAGTAACACTGCAGTAAAAGCCACGTGTCCACTGGTGTGTGATACAGGATGGCAGTGGTGTCCAGAGTCGGTGGGACCTGATCAGCACTGCTTTGCAGAGAGGATTCAAAAGTTCTCTGGATGTGAGGGTGAGATGACTTCACTTGGCTGCAAATTTGAAAAGTCAATTTTATAATGAGATGTTTTCTATTTATCATTAAAATCTATAGATTTCCCATGTCTTTCTCTTCAAAAAAATAGAAAAATAAACAATGGTGTTTTGTTATTTAAAAAAAAACAAACTGCATCTCCTCCATATTTCATATGGATTGTAACACAAAAGTGCCACATGGTGGCAGTATATCAACTCAACCGACATGCATGGAAAGGAGAGTTCAAACACCATTGTCTATTGTGCCTTATTACAGTCATACGTGTAGAGTTTTTCAAAGTTAATTATCTTTATTTTGGATAATACATTTATTCTATTAGTGTTGGAAAAAAAGATTCTTTTAAATTTGCCTGTACAGGATGCAATACTGCGGTACAACACGTCCCATGCCAAGAAGTGGGACTTCACTGCCCTCAACCTCCTTTGTACAGAGGTAAGTCTTCTACACCCTGATGTTTGTCCACACGTTTGTGTCCTAGCTTTTACAGAACTTTTCAGTTTGTCAGTAGAGGTGGATCAGATTTGGCTGATCTTGACTTACAGAAGCTGACAGTGTAGTTTATCGTCACCATTATGAATCCTTGTCTATTAAAAAGGAGCTGAATGAAGGGTAGAACTGGAGCGGTTAGAGAAAGTGAAGTTTATCTCTCAGCCAATCAGTGGGTGTTTCCTCCTGACGTTACCCGAGAGTCTCACAGGAGAATTCTTCAGTTAAGACGAGCTGAGAGCAAAGAGCACGACGGCAGCAGCTGTGACTTTCCTCTCTTTCGCCTTGTTGCTTTCTTCCCTTCTTCTATTCTTTTTTCCTTTTTTTATAACTTCTTCCCTACTTCCCCCTACCTTCCTTTGTTCCTTCCTTTCTTCATTTCTTTCTTCCCTCCTACATTTATTTATCCTAGCTGCCTCCCTTCATTCTTCCATCCTTCTTTCTTGCGGTCCTGTTCTTTTTTTCCATTAGTTACTCTCTACTTCCTCCCCTTGCTTTCCATCTACATGTATTTGTTGTATTACCTGCCTACTGAGTACTTAATACAATACTTTAAAGATATACATATGGAGTTTCACCATTGATCTAGGAAGTGAATACTAGCAAGTTTAATCATACTTTAATTGTAATCACTTAAAAAGTTTGTGGGGTTTTTTTGTCTCTTTTTTCATATAATAATTTGCGTTGGTTGAATCCATAAGAGAAACAAAATCATTTTTCTAATGGAACTGAATCAGATTTGTTGTCATTTCTCATCAGTGATTAATCAGCTGAATTCAGAGCATTAGAAACGCTCCTTAATCTCCTCCATTATTTCTCTGAGTGAAGCAGAAAAGCCATAAGGATCAATAACTGACAGACTCATTTTAGCTTAATTTGGTTTAATTAAAAAGACCCATTAATATCTGTAAGAACGCTGTTCTAATATGAAAACTGTTCTGCTGCGGAACTATAGTAAGATGTGGTTCTGCTGATGGACCAACACCTTTTCAAATACTAAATGAAATCAACAAAGTATCAATGAAGTATATCCATCTACTGTCTCTATCAATACGTAACTACATTAAATGTGGTTCAGGATTCATTTTTTAAATTTTCAAATATGAATAATCTGCAACATTTACTAGCAATGATCCTGTTTTAAGCCGTGTAAATGGATGTAAAAATGTATGCCGCTCCTGGACCAGTGATGGACATCCAGCCTAATGTGTGACAGCCGTCAGGTCGGTTATATAAATTAGGATTAGGCTAGTAAATGGTCTCAGTGTTTCTCCCTCTGCCAAATGAAACTGTCACTGTGTCACGTTCTGATGACATGCAACACTGCAGGCTGGACAGGAGGAAGTGCAGGTGATGAGACAATGACCAGGACAACATGTGGCTGTGCTGCTGTTTACTTTGATTCTCCACCTGTTCAAATTTGGCAGTCTGCATAGAGTTTACTGTATTCTAATGTTCTTATTGTAGTTCTCTTCTGTGTCTCTAATCCTTGAGTCTCTCTCTCTCTGTCTCCCTCTCTCTCTCTCTCTCTCCCCACCTCTTCCCCCCTCATCCTGCTGCATCACCAACCACCGTCTATTAGTCCCATAGGAGTGTTTTATGATGTCTGCCAGCTCATTACTTCTGACAGCATTTAGTCAGACCTGCTCTGCAGGGCCATATAAATGCCCTGAACAAGCCGCCGATCAGAGACTTCCTGTTGGAAATCAAACCTCCCTGCCACTCCTGTCCACAACTGGTCATTTGCATTTGCTCCAGAGGGTCCATTTAATCAGCGCTGGCTCCCACTGCTTACCTTGATAGAATAAACCGTGTGATTGATGACGGTGACATTTGAAGCCAATACAGTCATAAGTGATTGCGCTGTAAATCTGGCCCTATGATAGAATAAGGGTGTTTATCTTATGGGCGATTGCAGATGGATGCTGAGGTAAGCTATAGGCAGAAGTATGGATGTGTCCGCTCTGCCTGCTTTGCTTCCAGATTGATGTTAGTCCCCTGAAAAAAAAAAGTTTGTTGTAAATAACACTGCAGAGTTCTGTTTCCTGTTGACAATATTGATACGGAAGAGTGTGAGATTTCCCAATAACAACAATAATACTCTGTTGCCCTTTGTGACATGCGGTATTTTCGCTTGGATTTGAGAAAACTTTTATTAGACAGGGATTCCTCTCGCTGGGTTATGGCTGCAGGCTCACTGTTATCGATTTCTTTTCATCCAGCAGTTTATTGCTGTGGCAGTTGACGCTGTGGTGTAAAAATATTGTATTTTCATCATAACAACAGTTTAACAAAACTGTAACCTGTTATAGAAGAGGATTTATCTTAGTCAGAAATGATCATTTTTTCTTTGGAATTTTGGAAGTAACACTTGAATTTTTTTTTTTCATATGGCTGTTGTGCACAGTGTTTTGGATTTGACATTTACCTGACATTATCTTTGCTAAATGTATTGAAATTAAAGGTCTTCCAAGACCAAATAAATCACGTCAGACCTCAGCATCACTCTCACTGCTGGATCTGGATGTCTCTCTTTCATCTCTCTCTCTCTCCAGTATCTTGAACACTGTGAGGTACAGCACCTGTTTGAGGTCATTTTCCCTGCTATGGTGGACCTGGCCCTCAGTGCTCCTCATCTCTGCACAATGGTAAGTAGGTGTGGGTTGGTGTTATGCACTTTTTATGACATCACTCTTTTTTTCATTGGCTTTAGCTGCAACAGTGTGGGCCAGTTTTGAGGGTTTTTTTTCTTCCGTACCATTAAAGAAACAGATTCAAATGTAAACATCTTTCACACATCTGTCAGTGCTCTAATAAATGTTTTCAAATCAAATATTAAATACCCAAATATTTTATAGCATTAACCTTGTGGTTCCCAACTTGTCTTGGCTTGTGACATCACAAATTTCTGGCAACCCCAGAGACATTTTAGTAGCCGTCATTTGAACTTCAGTCTCAATTAAATTAAAGAGAAGAAAAAAAAAATTAATGCACTGGAAAAAACAATATTTCTCCCATCCTGAGCTGGGACCCTAAAATAGAAAACGTGAAATGATAAGAGATTATGTGCTCAGCTATTGTACTATTTTCAGGTCTAATCAGTGCTGTGACTGCAACTCTGTTCTGGTGTCTCATTAATGCACAATTGTGGTTTGTCGTGTTCAAATGCAGTGACAGAGTAGGTCGCGGTGATGTGGTGGCGGGGTTAGAATCCTGGCCTGTGGTAATGCAGCCGTCGGCTCTTTCTGTGTCTGTCATCATTGCTCCTGTCAAATGCACATATAAAGTATCATGTAGTTTTCTGTCAATTTTTGTGATACGTGCAACAGCGCCTTTATTTACTGGGCTTGACTGCTGCCAAGGTACAGTGGATGGCAGGAATGATACTTTTCTTCACATCATACATGTTCTACAGGATCAGCTCATGAGTTACTGCTGCTCCATAACGAGTGGCCCCCTCATCTGGTCCACAGCAAGACCTGCTTCATTAGGAGAGAGCGGTGGAGGAGGGAAGCTCTGACTCTCCTCCTGTCGTCCTGCTGATGTGTTAGACTTTTGGTCAGGAGAACATTTCTCTCACTTTTTGGATTCAGTGCACCACTAAGCTGAAACTTGTTAGGAATTTAATGTTTTTTGGTGTATTTTTTTGATAGCAGCCCCTCACTTCAGTTTTTTTGTTGGTAAACTGAGCCATCCATCCTCAGTTGGCCAACCCTGTTATTTAAGTTGAATTAATATGAGTCAGATCAGATTCTTTCAAATGTCGTACCCATTTGTCTCAATTCAGTTCCCTGTCATTACTTATAACATGGCAAGAACACGAAGATTCGTATTTTTGTAATCCACTTACCTTTTTTTTCTGGCGGTTCAGTCTAATTTAATAAAGCTAATTCAACTCCTACACTGGATGAATCAGGGAAATCACAGTTAGTTCTTGCCAGAGCACAGTGTTTTGTTTTTTTCACCTCACAGCTCATTCGTTGCAGACGGATAGTGAAGCATTTTTTGCCCGGGACTTGTTTTGCTGTATTTAACACGGAGGTTAATGTTCATGTGTGTGTTATTAAAGCTGGTATTGATCTGCTAACCGTGCAGCCTTGGGAGGCTCTTTAGCACTAATCAGTGGCGATGGATCCGCCTTCTGTGTGTGTGTGTGTGTGTGTGTGTCACTGAACCAACCTGCGGGAGAGCAGGAAAACCTGGCCCTTAATTACTGCCACCCATTTACCTAATGGAACGCTCCTAGTCTGTGCTGCCTACTTGATTACTAACCCAGTTATCTGCCCCCCGTATCTCACCCACATAACCTTGTACACTGTGATACTTGACCGTGTGTCTCATTGGGTCTTTGCTGGGTCTCACGTGTATCTGATTTATTCACTTTTCTTCTAATGTGACAATAAAATAATACTAAATACAATAATTTCTAACTGTTAATATTTTTACCTGTGTCCTGTTTTTCCTCTCTAGCCCATTCCCCTGTTGAAGTCACGGATGAACCATTCTCTGACTCTGTCTCAGGAGCAAATAGCCTGTCTTCTGGCCAACGCCTTCTTCTGTACATTCCCACGACGCAACTCCCGCAAGTCGGAGTACTGCAATTACCCTGAGATCAACTGTTACAGGTAAAAAGACACAAAGGGGTATCTTAAAAAATAGAAGGAAAAACAAGTAATCATGAATGACTACTGTTCCAAAAATGAGGGACGTCTCTGTGTCCAGTTTAATCATGAATGACTACTGTTCCAAAAAAATAACATTTAATGAGGGACGTCTCTGTGTCCAGTCTGTGACAGAGCCTTCAATGATTTTGTGAGCGTGTACATTATTTAGTTTTTGTTGAGAGAGGTATTTTTTAAAAATCAAAACATGGTAGATAAATGTACTCTATGTAAAGCAAGGAGTAGAACTGTGCTTCAATTTTTGGGTTGAGAAGTTGACATGGTTTATATGGATTGGGAGAAGTGGTAACCAAGTTAAAATTGGATTTTACTACCGTACCTGTCCCTGTATTTATGTCCTGCAGGCACTGAACATAGTCCACCTTTCACTCTAGCTTTTCTTTTCTCTAGTTTTCTAAAGATTTTATCCTCATTAGTGGTATGTTTAATCCATTTCACTTTTATAGTCTGGCAGCCTGAAAATATCAGTTTGACAAATAAAAAAATAAAAAAAAACAATCTATTTTTAAAACATGAAAATGTGATTTGGAGCATATTCCAAGCAGTTTGAGAAGAGAGGAGTGAGAGCTCAGTACTATTCAGAGTCTAATTGCCCAGCTGCTCTTCCTGCTTGGACTGAGCAGTATTGTTTTATGAATCCTAAGGACAGCCTAATTAATTATCAGTATTTTGGTCCTCACCCCCATCCCTGAGTCTCTCGTGTTATCAGAACCATTATCCTAGACTCACAATCGGTCATCTGCGTGCATGATATCTTCTTCCACATCCAACATCAGGGGCAGGCTGAGTGAGGAGACCTCTGTAATAACATAAGTATTGATCGCAGTGGATGTTTCTGACCGGTGCCAGCGCTCGTTTCTAGGCACTTTAACCCGCCCTCCATATCAGAATGTCTGCCTAAAGCAAAATGCTTGAAGAAGAAGAAGAAAAAAAAAAGAAAAGACCTGGCATTTCTGGGAAGATATGACAAGACAGCCACTCTGGTCTAATATTGAGGGAGTGTCCGTCACTTTGCTTATTGGTTACAGTAGCGTTCTGTCTTGGACAAGGAGCGTATCCAGCAATCTGCTGATTGCTTTTTTGGCAGAACTGTCAAGGTTTGTCCTCTGTTAAGTGATGGATAGATAGGAGGAGGAGTGAACCAGGCAGGAGATGTTTTTCTTTAGCTTGTGGTATCTCCTTGAGAAGAAAATGACACAGGGTTTTTCTTCCAATAAAAAGTTATTATTATTAAATACATTCTCCTCTTCATGTCTTTCCAAAGTCACCTGCCACATGATTCTCTGTTGGTCTTAGAAGAAAACAACTACAAGAAACATTTTCAATGTAAAATCGTGTACATTGTGAAGTGTGAAAAAGCTGCAATAATACTGTGACAACAGTGTGTTCACATCTTTGGAAATGAAGGTGTGCGGCTATACTGGAAAATTCACAGTTATATATTTGAAATGCAGGAGTTGTCAGATAAATCACATTTACTTTACTTTAAGGCTTTTTCGTTAATTGCCTTTTTTTAATGAAATTTATGTCTTTTGCTTCCATTTTCTTACTGGTCTGGGCCAAAAACAGCAGGAGAGATGGATGGATGCAGAGCTGTGATTAGTCACCAGCTTATGTTGCTTTTAATGAGAGTAGAGTACCAGTGTGGTTTAAAGTGCTTACCCGAAAATACCCCCACCAACAACACCGCCACCACAAAGAGCACTATTTGTGGACACAACTAAAGGATTTGAACAAGTCCAGAGGCAGTGGCGTTGTATGAAGGATGGGGATGAATGGGAGTGACACAGTGTCAGCCTGAAAGATTGACCTCCCTCATCAAATGCTGTAGTATGCATGTGCACTGGACTACACATAATGACTGAGAGAGACAAACATGAAAACCTCCTTTCAATCTCCAGCTTTAGTCTTGGTTTTCATTTTGTTTCAGGTTATTTGAAGGATCTTCCCCAAGAAAAATTGAGAAGTTGAAAACCCTACTGTGTTACTTCAGGAGAGTCACACAAACAAGTAAGGGTTGGAAAAGAAAATCAATGTAATGTTGTTTTTTCTGAAGTTGATGATGATGCCTGATTTATTTTTTTAAGGGCCCAAGGGTCTTGTTACATTCACAAGACAGTCTACCAATCCACCAAACTGGGAAAGGTAAAACCTTAATATGATAACTGTGGGTTTTTTGTTTTTTTTTTAGAAAAGGTCTTATACAAAAACAGTATTTAAATAAATGTCATCCTCTGTCTTGTTTTCTAACTTTTTTGGTTGCACTTCCACTGCTTCCAAACAATCACATCACTTTTCTCATGAAATACACAATATTCAATATTCAAATCATTCATTTTGTGCTTTATTTTCTTGAAGTGGTTGATGTAAATATACAGATAAACTTTTTTTGTCCAGTTCTCAGACTCATCTGACCCGCTTGCATATCACCTATGAAGGGACCATAGAGGATGATGGTTATGGGATGTTGCAGGTTTGTTTTCTAAAGCTTATGAGAACTGTAAAAATGTAATGTTTCATCAATATTTGTGCATTATTGCTTATTACTCTTTCAATGGCAACCTTAAAAGATCTGTTCTCCATCTTCTTCTAAACATGTTGATGCTTCTTAACTTGCTGACAGTTGATGTTTTAACTCTGTGCAGGGGTGGCTGACAGTTGATGTTTTAACTCTGTGCAGAAAAGTGGTGGAGAAAAGGACTGGATGTTGTGGGGTGGGTGGGTTGTAAATGAAGTATATGGAGATACATGATCCACTGGGGCAGTATTCCTCTAGGTAGATTGATGGCTACCATAGCACACACGGCACTGTCAGTACGCAGAGTATCAATACTTCAGGGTGGGCTGTCATTCTGTCAGGAGGTGGGATTGAAGCGTGAGAGGTGGGTTGAGCAAGTGGCCCAGGTGTAGTGTCGACGAACTGGCTAGAAAAACACACGAACACCTTCACTGTCTGTGGGCCAGTGGACACAGTCCTGGCCTCTGACCGGCTGTTGAAGTGTGTTTATGTTAAAATATTCTACATTTTAATGGCTACTAGGAGTTAAATGGTTTTCACCATTGTATAATCTGTGATCAGTTATTGTGGCAGTCATTTCTATGTTTATCTGTTATAATTGCGGACATTAAAACGGCATGTCAGAAATGTTTAAAGGTCAGAGTTGTTTCTCTCTTCTGTCTCTTTCAATCTTGAATTATTACTAATCCCTCATCAGAGTGCCGTTCATCCGTAATTGGCATTTAACCAATCACATTGGATTTAACAAGTCTTGTTTGAGCCTAGTTTTCTAATCAGATTATTCTCCAGCAGGAAACGGCGTTATGGTCCTCGTACGTTTGTCTGTATTAAAGGACCTCACTCCAACACTAATGGTGTCATTTGTTCAACTCACTGGAGTGGCTGTATCCTTACTGCAGTGTAATGATATCAGTACGTCAGCTTGTTTTGTGGTGAACAAACTCGAAGACAGTGGGCCAAATCCGGTCTACTACATCATTTCATGTGGTCCTCCTCAACATGTGTATGGTTTTTCAAAGATAAAACTGTATAGTACAGTGTCTATACTGATTTTTACTGCAGGTTGAATACATTGGTCATGAACTATTTTACAATTCTAATCAAACATAGATTTACAGTATTTGCTGTAAACTCCATCTCCCATAATGCGTAATGACCCGCCTCACAGGATCCTAGTGTAGCAGTAGAATGTTCAATAATTGTCAATGCTGTTTGGACCCCAACTAAGACTGTGTTTTTGAGTGATTGAGGTTGACACCACTGGTTTAGATGGTTCCATTCCATTTATGCAGGTTGTGGAATGTGTAAGATGGACAATGAAAGCTGATTTGATGTGAAGGGTCTTTTTACTTCATTTGTTTTGTATAACATTTTTCTTTTAATCCCTTTCCTAGGTGGACTTTGCAAACAGGTTTGTAGGTGGAGGAGTCACAGGACATGGACTTGTCCAGGAAGAAATACGGTTCCTGATTAACTCTGAACTCATCGTCTCTCGTCTCTTTACTGAAGCTTTGGAACGCAATGAATGCCTCATCATCACAGGTATGTCCTCACTCACTCTAAGTGTATGCTAAGTAGAACATCAAACGGACGAGAGTTGTTAAAAGTAGAACATCAAACGGACGAGAGTTGATAAAAAAAAACAAAACACAGGTCACATTTTGTTGTGTGCAGTGGTGTGCTGTGTCACAATGACAAATAATGCAATTTCACTTTATAACTTGACCTGACAATTTAGGTCTTGGTTTGCTTACAAGTAAACCCTAGTGGTATTAGCCCAAAAAACAACTCTAACTCACTGCATAAAACTGAAAACACAGTAAATCAACAAAAATGTTGCAAAATGTCTCGTGCGCAAAGGTAGAGTGGTGATAAGGTGCAGGGAATATATTGTGAAAATCAAACGAAAATGGTTTCCTCACCTTGTCCTGCACATCCTCACTGGTTCTAACCTAACCTTCATCGATTAAACACCAGAAAAGTTGAGTCATGTCTACAGGAAGAACTTGTTCACCCTCACTGTGCAACTGTGATGTGAAAATGATTAAAATAAAAAACGTTACTGTGTCGTGAGGAGCAGCGTCACTGATAATTCCTGGAAACAAATTTAAAAATCCTCCTCTGTCTCCTCCTCTGCTGGACCCTCCACTCGGTACATCTGTTCTACGTGGCGCCATGTTGTCGTGTTTGAGAGAAAAACATCTTGCAAGTCACCAAGCCCCCCCATAATTCTCCCTCTTCGCCCTCGCCCTCTTCCTCCCCCCATCCACTTAACTTTATTACATTTCAGACAGAATGGAATTTATAGCCCAACTAAGGTCGCTGCTGCGCTAATGGAATGGACCAGTTACGCCATAGATTCATTAAGGATCCAAAATATTCTTCTCACGACTCTGATGTCTTCTGTTTAAGTGCAGTCTGTTTCTGGACTCTTTAACCGTCTCTTTTGCTGTTGCATCAGTCTTCTACGAACTGTTCCTTTTTTCATGTCAGATATAGAGAAACACAATGTTAATCAAGATATGTAGGCTGAATCAAGGTGAATGATTAAGGTGAAGAAGTAGATGGATAGATCTAATGATGGTAGTGAAGGTTAATCCTTTGGTGTGACATCACAAGTCACAAGTGCGACAGGAAGTCCTCAAGCACAAATGAATTTATTGACATTGAAATCCTAAGGCTTTGATAATTAAAGTAAATCATTTCACTGATGTTATTTGTGATTTGAGACACATCTGTCGTAGAACTTTCAGCTGGACCCTTGTTGAATGTCCGCTTGATTTTCACTATTGTGTATTTGCATGATGAAGTTGAAATTCTCAATTCTCTGTCACTTGAATTTAAACTATTTTATCTGTTAGAATTCACATTTTGCTAAAGGGTTCAAGGTTATCTTTGTCTTCGTCTTTCCCAACAATTCCATTTACAAATGTCAAAAGCTTTTCATTCCAAACCCCCTCAAAGTAGATTACTTATTAAATCAGTGGCTTTTATTTTACGACAATCCACTGTGTGCTGATACTGAAGACCTGCACGGAGAACGAGTAAAAGCACTAAATTGGATTAAAGAAACAAGACGGCGGGGCAGATTTAGACCCACTGTGTGTGTGCGTCTGTGTGTGTGTTGACTGCTAAATACTGAATAAACAGTTCTTATTTTTTGTGCTCCACAGGCACCGAACAGTACAGTAAATATTCTGGTTATGCCGAGAGTTACAAATGGAACAACAACCACAAAGATGAAACTCCAAGGTGATCTTTTTTTTTTTTTTTTAACACCTTTCTTTAAAATTAGATAATTGTGTAAGTGGTTAAAACCTTAAATTTATTTATTTATTTTTTGTTTGGTCTGTTCTTCGTTTATTGTCAGGGATGAATGGCAGAGACGATGCACAGAGATCGTGGCCATTGATGCTGTGAAATACAGACACTTCTTAGAGCAGTTCCTCCCTGAGAAAATGACCAGAGAACTTAACAAGGTGAGAGACGGAGTCCCTGGAAAACATTATTCAAACAAGAAAGAATACAATCACTGCCAAATACTCTTATGTATCCAAAAAAAACATATCAAAGTCTGTAAAATGATAGGACGATGTAATGTGTAATTGTTTTTTACTTAAAGTTCATGGTTGTGAACTTTGACCCAGACATCACCTGCTAAATGTTAATGAAAGGGGATATGACCTGTGACAACATTGACTTTAGCTCAGGGCTACAAGGTATAATCTGACCACATTACACCGTGTCTGTTTACTGTAGTTTCATAGCAACAGTCCAGTCGATGCATTGCATTGTTGTGTCAGTGTCTCTGTCGATTTTAATTTTCATTATTCTGCCAAATTCACTAAAAAACGTAAGGTTTGTTTTACCAAAACTTCCATCTTGTGACCTCATGTTACCGTACATTCACACTTCCTGTGCGTTCACTGCAGGCCTACTGCGGCTTTTTCCGAAGCAACGTCAACACGAAGCATCTCTCTGCTGTGGCCACGGGGAACTGGGGCTGTGGGGCCTTTGGTGGAGACACCAGACTCAAAGGTACCAATGGTTTGGTAAAAAGAAAAAAGAAAAACATATATTACATAATGAGGTAATAAATGGGCCATGTGGAGCAGTGAGTGTAAGAAGGATTAGTGAATTAACTATAGTGGTGGAATACGACTTAAGAATTATGTAATGAACTACAAGCTTAGTACTTAATCAGTTGTAATCGTATTTTATCGTATACCATTATTTGACGCAGAGAGCAAAACTTTTCAAAACTCTTCATTGCAGGATATTCACATAAATGTTTTTGTGGTAATAAGTACTGTTTTTTTTTATTCAAAATAATGACTCTTTTTGAATGTTTAAAAAAAATAGATTTTTTTTTCCTTTTTTTAAAATTCCTAATACTGTCATTGTTTTAGTTGTAGAAGTTTTTCAGGGATCTTTCTCACAACCGTCCGGTCAATTAGAGTCTCTCCCTGGGTGTCACTCAACACTCCCCCTCCCCCATTATTGATCAGCCATCACACATTTATGTTTTCCATTAAAAGGGCAATTGATTACTGGGAAGGAACACCATAAATCCAGGCTGATACAGGTCACTGTGGGCTAACACAGCATCACTCTTCATAAGCAGCCCACCCTGCCCCCGCCCCTCCTTTTTACTCTCCCCCTGAGTGCAATACTCTACAAATCTTTGCTACTTGTGTTTCCACTTGGCTTCAATTTACTGTGTACTTACACATCATCTTACTGAGGCTGAGTCTGCGGTATTAAATCTGCTGGTAAAAAGATACTGCTGCTACCGCTACTGTAACTACTAGTGATATTCATTTCACTATTGCAATCACTATCTTTACTACTACCTTCGCTATTTCCTGTGAATCCTTGTATTAGTACTACTACTGATGCTCTTACCTACTCCTCCTTCTACTACTACCACTACTATAACTCAACAACTGTTGATACTAGCGCAGCTACTCCTTTTGTGCATGTTGCTATTGGTAGTAATGATGCTACTACATTACTACTGATGTTCCTCTGGTATTAGATCTACTAAAGCTCTGTTCCTTCTCCCGTTGTTTACTATGACAAACATAGTTACTAAAAAACAATGAAAATGTAAAATCAACATTATAAACACGCCAAAATGTCTAAAAGTATTGCATATCAAAAGGCAATCAACAGATGCCAGTGATCATGAAGCAGTGCAGATGTTTGTTTTTTTTCCCTTTCTTTTTTTTAATAGCCATGTTCCTTTGTTTCTGTGCAGTTTCTTGTAGGACTGAAGATGTTCATTTATTCTGCCCCCTGCTATGAACACAACATAACAAAAGCCCTCAGGGAAGATATTAGCTTGCAGGGACCTCCACCCCACCATTAGCCATGGAATTAACATAGCTGGTATTTTTAGAAGGCAATGAGGGGGTTGACTTGTGATGCGGTTGTTACATAAAACTCAACATGGTTGTAAAGATTGCAGGGCTTCAGCCAAATGATGATTTGTTTTGTGCGTTCATTAATCTGAAATCAATATCCATTCTGTTAAATATTTCAAAGCGTCCTTTGGTCCAATTTACAGGAGCTAAAAGATGAAGTGCAGTGGATGAGGTTAAGTCGGCGCTGGTGTATTATTTACTCTTCCCATACAAATGGCCTTTGTCAGTTCTAATTATTTGTGCTTTTAGCTGAGCCTTGTTGTGTATTATTGACAGATCACTTAGTTACACAGGGATCAATTACACATTTATGAGTCCCAGTGAAGGTAACAGACACAAAAACTAGAGTATTCTTTTCCACCACTATTTTTTATTGTTATTGTTTCTTTTTTTTCTACACCCTTCCCATATTTTTCACAGCTCTGATTCAGTTCATGGCTGCAGCGGAGGCTGGGAGAGACGTGGCTTACTTCACGTTCGGGGACGCTAAGCTAATGAGAGACGTTCATCAGATGCACACGTTTTTGACTGAGAGACAAGTAACCGTTGGTAAGATTCAATCTCAAATGTTTTTGTGTGAATGTGTATGTGTTTTACCAGTTGAGATGCAGTCAGCACTTGAGGCAGGTTACATAAACACTGATGACCATGACGTCAGCCTTGTAGACTCTTGTATGTGGACTTTTCGGTGGCATTGCTACAGGGACACTGTACATAAATAACAGTATGCAGCCAATCTGTAGGTTAAGTTATTCCTCCTTACTGACCGTGGCTCCTTCAGATCTTATCCATTCATCCTCATCCGTAGAGTGGATTAGTGCCTGAACCAGCCCTTACCCCCCCACACCTCCACCCCCCTGCCTCTTTTCATTTTTCTTCTCTTGACATTTATTGAAGCCTTTCATAGGAACTCCCCTCCAGCCAGCCATTTCCTAAAGTGGGGCTACAGAAGAAAAAAATGAATGTGCAAGTTTGTGTACTTGGTTCATAAATGAACCACAAATTTATTTCAGTACTTCATCTGTATCTGATCCTTGTATCTGATGATTTAGGTACCCAGATTAAAACATACTTGGCCAAATAATTGTTGTAACCTACACAATTTTTGCTGTGAATAAAGCAACAAAAACAACACGTTAAGCTCATAATATACTGTATGCATTTATAATTCTTTTTTATGTCCTCTCTCCCGTCTTCTCTCCCTATGCATTTATAATTCTTTTTTATGTCCCGTCTTCTCTCCTTCAGGTCATATGTACAGGCTTTTGAATCAGTATTCCAGCATGGTGTGTAAGAACTGCCGCTCAGCCCAACCCGATGTCAGTCTTTACAGTTTCATCTACGAGAAAGTCTCCTCCCAAATGGCGGCCGACACCTTAGACCCTGCTATGAACTCTGGGATGCCATCTGTGACGTCGGACTTTCATTAGCGCAGGGAAAGGTGCAGCCTAAGCCTCTTCTCACCTGTCCGTCTTTGTCTACTCTCTGACTCTCTTATTAAAAATCTCAGTCTTGTGCTAACAATCACGTCTGTCTGTCACAAACAATCTTAAAAAAAAAAACTCCCTTTAAGTTTGTGATCCTCCAACACAAACTACCAAGTCACGGTTTTGCCTTTTCCACTGAGGGTGTCGTGGGAGCCTGGTGTTCTGCCACAGGTTGTGGTGAAATGTTTCAGAGACTTATAGCAATAGTAAATCCTTGTTGCTGTCAGGCCTTTCCTCACACTAATCTTTATATGTGCACCAATTAAAACTACGGCCAAATTGACATTTATATGCATGTTTCAAGAGTGTGGTGATGCAGGAGAGGATTTGTCACCAACATCGTCTCACCTTTTGTTGTGTCTTCTGTATTTGTTTGTTCTCGTCTTCTGGATTTAGTGCCCCCATGCTGCGGTGAGGTTCCTGAAACAGGCAGAGACGTGAGGTATCATATTGTAGTCAATGCATGTGATTCATAACCTAACTGATATTCTACAAATATATGCTGCTCTTTTTAACGTTTGAGGATGTCAAAGGTCAACACACATACACACGAGGTCCTTAAGATTTTTATCAGTACAAATTATAAGAAATACTAATAATTAAAATAGAAAAATCCTCTCAGATGGTCTTTGTCAGCGTAGGCAGTTTGATAATTTTGTCATAGTAAATAGACCAAATCAAACCCTGCTTTACCTTCAGTGTTAAGTACAGTGTTGATTATACCTTCTCTAAGAAAGAATTGCTCTCAAAATGTTAATATCTTTGTTAATAACTTTACCCAACGATTAGTAATGTGACTTCTCTTTAAAATTTCATTTACTCGTATGCTGATGGAGAGTGCGTTCTATGTTAACTATGGATTCATGTAAGACTGAAGAAAGCTGAACTTCTGTAAATGTACTTACAAAATACTGTACGCTAGTCTTTTTTTAGTTTGTACTATTTTTATTATAATTTGTTAATTAAAGTACGTACTATTACAGTAGTGTTTCTTGTGTCGAGTGGGTGTGATTAACTGAATGTCAACAAATGCATCAGCTCATTCACACCGGTCAATCAGTAGCAACTGGTTTTCACGTTTAGTTGAAATTTCACTTCTCCCTGTGGTTAAACTGAGGATTTCAGCCTCTTCCAAAGGTGGTTTATGAGGGCAGTGTCTTTTTAAAGTGTCTAGGTATTCTGGCTATTTACATACATGGGAAAATATGTTGTTTCTACCGGTATGTTGAAATCTCAAAGGTAAGTTTGTTTGTGTCACGGGTGAAATGAACTGATTTGTAATTTTATTTCTCTGGTTGAGTGAGGAAAACGTTGGCACAACTGCAGAAGAAAATGACTGGAAAACAAAAACTGTCCAGAGTCCAACTTCAGGACTCACACAACAGACTATTTAAAGGTCAATGTTTAACATGGTATTTTTTTCTAGTGAAGAACAGACAAATTCATGGTAAGAGTAAGACAAAAAGTTCCAAGTTGAAAATATTCTTGATTTATAAAAACATTAAGTTATTGTTCTGCCCTCTGTCTGACCGTGTGATGTTTCTGTCAGAGAATTTCATCGTTAAAGAATTCTTGGGAATGATTTTCCACACCAGGTAACAAAGTTTCCTTGTTCTTGTCTATGGACTGAAATCAAGTTACTTTGAAATGTTGTGCTTTCAGTTTTGTCAAAGGGAAAAAAAAATTATACAAAGCTAGAAATACTTTTGAAAAGCTTCAATAATATAAAGTAAAAATGTTTGATTTTTTTTTATATATCAAAACTAAAACTGTCTAAATCTGTCTTAGAATTTTTCTGCCCTATCAGTCTCATGTCTGTCTTTTACAGCAGCGCTTAATGAAATCATGCATTATTAAACTATCTCAAATATGATTGATTTTTATAACAGCCCACGGACCAAGAGCTGTGTGGAAAATCTGATTCCTCCCCCGATCGTGCTGGCTTTGATGAATTAGAGCTTCCTAAATATCCTCGTGACGTGGACCTCCATAAATGGCGTGTAGGCTGGACGGAGGTAAGTGGATTACACGTTATCTGCTTCTCTTGGCTCTTTGTACTCAGCCTGGAATTGACCAAATGAGCTCTGGACTGCTGTACAGAGGCAGTTTGTTTTAGCCTATCCAGCTGTTCAACTGTAGGTGTCGGCCCTCGGCCTCCCTCACCTGAACGTTGACCTTTCTCTTGGATAGAGACAAACCTTTATTCAGGCACTGAGCAATTACCTGGAAATGATAATCATTGCCAAATTAACAATGACATAGAGGGTTCTCTCGTTGTGTTTGTTTTTCCTTGAGTAGTAATTCCACTAAGCTTAAAGCGAGTGGAAATAGTCCCTTTTTCCCCACTTCTTTCTACCTGTGTAGATGACACATTTTCTAAAAAAAATGATCCAAACACCAAACAGCTGGTCTGCTCTTGTCCTCTGTCGTGATGTAATTATTCTAAACAGGATGTAATTTAACAGCAGGCCGTGTTAGCCAGCGGCACAGGTCTTTTCATCGATGAATACCGTTAATAAAATGCCAAAAAGCAACTGGGCTTTACTCCATCTTTGTCAGGCGCCAACGCCACTACAACAAAATGGCATTTCAGTTCATAATTGCCTGACCTCGTGTTCCTGAGGTCAGACTCAGCATTACTGCAAATAATGGAAGGAAGAAGTCTTTAAAAGGGACTCTTGTGTTTATTGTGCTGTCAGATGTCTACAGAAACAGATTAGTTACACGTCAGAAAGAAATCACATGGTGCTTGTTGTAAAATTGTTTAATTAGGTGTGTGTTTTTTTTAAGGTTCAAGTAGGAGAGCGTTCTTTTAACTGATTTAATGACACTCAGATGAATCTGGCTCTGTCTGGTAGATCCTGGTACATGGAGCGCTCGCTCTGTCCTCCTCCCTTGTTTTCAGTGATGTTCTCGTTGTGATGGATAACACTGTTCTCCTCTGTGCCAGCCAGTATGAATGATGGAAATGTAGCTGTGGAAGAGTGCAGGGGCTGGAATGGGGGGACGAGGAAGGGGAGGGAACAGCAGAACGAAGGGAGGGCCAATTATCTTATTGTTTAAAGCACTCAAGTTAGAAGCCCATCAATCTGAAACCACTTGCTCAACCGACTCCTATTCAGCTCCTATAAAAGTTTAATAGGCTTATATAATTAACAGTGAGGGGAAAGACGTGTGATGTAACGGAGAGCGAGCGAGAGATTGTGTGTGTGTGTGTATCTGTAGTTCTTAAGGTCATTTTAGGGCCACACATTGGTCAATGTTGTCAGAACAGTTGTCTGTTGGGAGGAAACACACTGGATTGATGCTTAAATCCATAAAAGTAAACCAGTATTTTTACTCACAATTTGCCCATGCTAAAGATGGTAGAGTTCAAAACTAACGGCAGCCTGAGGTACTGCTCTGTGGTACTCCTCAGGATTCGCTTTTATATATTTGTTCTTCTCTTTTCGTTCACTTAAAAAGTATTTGAGCTTTTTTTCTTCTTCTTAGAATTAAGCAACACGTTATTTTGTTATTTTGGTTAAAATAATGACGTTGACTGAATTAACTGGCAGGATGAAAGTGTTTGTAGCGCCACCTGACGCAGGGGGGCGTGTCTCGACGTGGCTGCAGCTCCTGGATCTGTGTCACCTTCACTGATACCTGTCCTACTTACAGTCTATAACCCGTTCAGTGGTGAGACTTGGGCCACAGAACAGAACAGTACAGTCTAAGGTAGAGGCAGCCTCTACAAATGATGCACAGTTAATTTATTTAATCCAAAGTTTATTTCCTGTGTTTCTGTGCCCGTGCGGTGTCACAGAGAGAAAGGCAGCGGCGGAGATTATGAGGATTTGTTTATGCTGAGGGATTAGTCCTCCGGGGAAACACGACAGTGACCGAATGAAACCAGCACGGGTTTGACTTTGATCTCTGAAACATACCAAACAGACGTCCTGTTGATGTAAAGGTAGAGAAGTGGAAGCAGCAGCAGGTAAACGCTCATGGCTGTGACACATGCATCGTCAGCTCGTCATCACACTTCTGTCCGGTTGTTGCCTTTTGTCCTGCTGCCTTGGAAACGTCTTCACAAGACGCACGCGCGGGCCGTTACTTATAGAATGTTATCGTGTGCTATGGTCTCCACTGTTTCAACGAACGCGACTGTAGCTGCTGTGTTTTGTCCTTACATTAAACTCAAACGTCATTATGAGGGAAACATTGTCCGCAGCCAGTCTATGCAATCCATTTTTTGCGCTCTTTGCAAAAACAGTTTTAACGTCATTTGCACTGATATACGCTCCGTATTTATATATATATATATATTAAAAAGTATGTCAAAGTAAACAAAAGCAGGACGCAGGGCATGTAAACAAATGCCATGGTCTTCCTCTGTGTCATTTAGAATCACGACCATTGACTGATTTATTTGTTTATAACAAAATAACAACAAAACACAACTGATTTGTGATTTGTGATTTGCAAGTGTGGCGTCCTGGACCCGGACCGGAAGTAACCATGTAGGTTTGAGCTAGCATTTTCATTAGCATTGGGTTAAAAATACTTTGTGCTGACATTATGAAAGATATCGAAGGAAAAAAAGAATTGTTGATGTGTGAAAAGCAGAATTTGTTTTACAAACAACATTGTTTCAAAGTTTCAAGTTCATTAAAATCCACAAGACCGAGGTAGTGAATAACACTAAAGGTTATGAAACAATAGGAAGAAAACAATGTTGTTCTGCTTTGAAATAGTACTGTATGTACTGTGTAAAAATACAGGAGACTGCAGTGATCTCTGTCTTCATATTTTCTATTCATATTTCCCTCCAGCCATGAGTCAGCTCCGTTTGTTGGCGGGCGTGTTGCGGGTCAGGTGTACTCTGGGAAGTCTGTGGTTACGTGGTAATGGAAGTGGCTCCACCAGACGCTGCCTTGACTCCTACAGGAGAATGAGCTCCTCTGGATCAACACCGGTTTCTCCAGCCATTATCAGCAGCTCCAGCTACGTGGAGGAGATGTACTATGCCTGGCTGGATGACCACAAAAACGTCCACAAGGTAACTGCATTTAGTTACCCTTTAGTTGCACACATACCATAACAGAAGGAGCAGTGATTAATACGATTAAATGTTATTGACATCTTTTAACATTTTCTCAGTTTGTGCTGTGTTTGACATACAGCAGTGCATTTAAAACTGACTGGTCAGAATGGTGTAAATCATAGCAAACATTGATTAAAAACTATCACCAGCGCACCAGGCAGAGTAAAGACACAAAAAACACGATAATTGACACAAATGCAGTCCAAAGCCACGACCTGTAGGTTGTTGGACTTTGTGATAGTATCGTCACATTTCCAGCCTGCCATACTGTTGCTGTAGCACCGCCACACTGTATGTTGCAAACACAGCTTATCCACAGACGGAAAAACGTCTAAAATGAAAAAGAAGCTTCTTATTTTTCCTGTTCCCCAGCTTTGAGTCATGACCCTTGTAGAATCAGTCAACCAACTTTTAAACTACTTGATTTGTGTTTTTTTTCTCTATAGTCCTGGGACACCTTCTTCCGCGACCTCCAGGCCTCCAGCCCGTCTGCTGAGGCGGGTGAGAAACGCCCCTCCACTCTGCTGCAGGGCCGGGTGGGGTCTCATTCTCCAGATACGGCACAGAAAGTAGTGGAAGACCATCTGGCTGTGCACACGCTCATTAGAGCCTACCAGGTACTGTATAGTACTATCAACCATACTAGGACGTGTAAAGTACTGTCCAATTATTTTTGGCATACTTACTGAAAATAATGGATAAATATATATGAAAAATGAAAAGATTTTTATTGCAAATTTTAAATTAGGTTAAAAATAGACATTTGAATATTCCAGTGTATACATGCATTAATGTTTGGTTTTAATATATAATCACACTGTTTACAATGACTCCACTAATCCCAGAGCCTGTGTGCTGCATTATAACATCATCTGTCTGCAACCATTAATAGCCGACTGTTTGTATCAACAGTATTTTCACAGTATTTGTGAAAAATGAATCAAACAAAAATGTACTCAGCCTGCCTGAACATACTGCGTGGGTTTTTTCTGCTCCTTAAAAGGAATATGCAATTTGTTTGTCGCTGCGTGAGGATATGCAAATTCCTACATTAATCCTAACCCACTTAACACTGCATGCTTTTTGAAAATGGAAATATCAAAGAGACTACTTAAACAAACCAGGTGGCCCTCCAATTAATTCCAGGAGCTATCCCAGGGATTTATTAAAATCTTTCTTTTTGGCACCGACATCTCTGTTCTTTCCCGACCTGTGGAGATCTTGGTGGGAATGCCTACACAGTCTGACTTGTAAATACATTAGCTAATATTACTATACAGTACAAATGAGACCCCAGTACATTCTTTATTTCTTTTTCTCTTCTCACGTTAATCTCTGAGTAGATTCGTGGCCATCATGTTGCTCAGTTGGACCCTCTTGGAATTCTGGATGCAGACTTGGAATCCTTTATTCCCTGCGACCTCATCACCAGCTTTGATAAACTAGGTAAACAGCAAAAACCTATATACTGTATACACTATATATAAATATATAACAAGAACAAAATATGTAGAAGTTGCTATATATACAGTATATATACCTATACATATTGTGATCATAAAAATATATAATATATGTATACAATATCTCTATATATGTGTTTGTATTTATGTATATATTTTATATATGTACATATACACTATGTGTATGTGTATATATGTATGTCTGGGCTGGAAACAATTATGTTTTTTTATATACAGTGTATGGCATATGTATGCACTAAAGTGCATACAAAATATATGTTGAGTATGACACAGAATCTGTGTATTTTATATTCATTGTTGTGCCTGTCCTATTTGTCTGTGTATTGTAAGAAATACTAAGTCAAACACGCGTCCACAGTACACAGTGTATGCTGATGAGATTCAGACTATAGATGGCCCTTCTGTTAATTAATGCTCTGTGTGTGCTGTGTTTATGATTTCAGTTAAATGCATATTATTCTCTTTGACTCGCTCACATCAAAAGCGCCCCCATCTTTACAATAATAAATGTTTTATTTGGAATTATGCACGGCCTACTTCTACAACCTAAGGCTGCACGACTCATCAGACCCACGAGTGTAAATTGTCCCTAACTACAAAATGCTAAAACGATATGTGTGTATTTTTAATTTAATTTAAATGTACCTGTAACCCCACTGCTCTGAGATTACAGTCCATATTCAGTATGTCCTTAATACTTTCCGTAAGGTGATTCAACCTAATGTGGTCATTACTGTCAGTCCAGAATTACATTAAAGGACTGAAGGTAGAACCAGTGTGTGTGAGAGAGAGATTGTTATTCTATTGTTGTGAGGACACTTGGTATCTTGTTAGGACATGTTGCTGTTCCCCATGAATTAAGATGATATTTTGAGGAGCTGCATTTAGGTTGGAGTTAGAATAAGTTGGAAAAAAAAAAACAAAATACATGCGAAATTACATGACGTAACAATGAATCTGTTTTGGGTGTGTGTTCTCGTGGTATACTAAGACACTTTGACCTTGTTGGACAATTTTGCGTGAGTTGGTGTTTTCATATTTCAAGGTTAGGGAAATCATTATATCTATTGAAAGCGCTCACAAAAACTGGTGTGTGTGTGTGTGTGAGAGAGAGAGAGAGAGAGAGAATGAGAAAGAGAGGAAGGTGGTCGACCAGACGTAGATGAGAATCTAGAATTACTAGTGAGTGATGAGAAGCAACAGACGGACTGACAGAGAAACAGAGAGATTTCTGATGTTATCGTTGTTTATCAGGACATAGCTTTGCATTATGTATTGTCATCAGGGCTGGAGGTCCTTAATGAAAGTTAACGACTGCCTCCGTTGCCCCCTCCTTTGGTCAGCTGGTGTCCTGCCAGTCTATTCTTGGCCCCTTTTATCTTTCCCCTGTTCCTAATAAGATTTGCACTTGTCTCCTCTTATGTTCTTCTGTGATTTGAGTTTGAGCAGGTGGAAACCTTCTCTTACCGTATGTGCAGCTACAAGAGTGAAGTCTAGTCTCCTGTGACTCCACAGCTCTTGGGAGCTGATGATTCTACCAGCCCTACTTTGGGTTTTCAACAGTTTTTGGGCTGTCGTATCAATCACAAGTCTCATGGAGCCATGGCTAATTATTGTTTTCATTTCCACTCCATCATTTTACACGATTATGCTTTTAGATAGACCAATTAATCAGGTGCTTTAATGAGGAAATATCTGTCACAATTCCCAAAGCCCAGGGTGACACCTTCTGATTGTTTGTCTCAGTTAGAACCAAGACAGGAAACAAATCGATAAACGTTCTTTTTTTTTTTTTCTTTTTTTTCTGAAGCAGAAACTGAAATTTTTAGAAAATTATTTCCCCTAATCAGCTGTTGGTTTTAAATGTTTGAATGTCTCTCAGGTAACAGTTCAGACCCAGAGATAATGATTTCTGCCCTGATCCAGTTCTTATAAAATTATGTTTTAGGATGTTGTGTGCCTAATCTGGATTACCATGCTCTTTGTAGGTTTTTATGGTCTCAATGAGTCTGACTTGGATCGCACCTTCCAGCTGCCCCCCACCACCTTCATCGGCGGCGGAAACTCCACTCTTCCTCTCAGGGAAATCATTCACCGACTGGAGGTGTTTTTCTTTATGATTTTCCTCCTGACCTTGACCTATCGTTCTGCTCAGTGTGTGGTTTTTTTAAAAAAAAATTTAAATATCTTTGCCCACAGACGTCTTATTGCGGTCACATCGGCGTGGAGTTCATGTTCATCAACAACGTGCAGCAGTGTCAGTGGATTCGTCAGAAATTCGAGACTCCTGGAATCATGAAGTTCACCAACGATGAGAAGAGAACGCTGCTGGCCCGCCTGGTCCGATCTACACGGTGGGCCTTGACCACACATCTCCCAGCTCACATCCACACAGTGACAGCGGAGTATTTCACTTTGAGTCACAGCTCACATCAGGGAGTCGTAAATAACACAGAGAAATGACCCGTGACTGTATCTTTGGACAGATTAACGTCCTGTTGTTGATCTGAGCTCATCTTAAACATTGATGAATGGAGTGAGAAGTTACTGCAGCTCTGAGCTCTTTCTGCTGCTCAACAGACTTTTGAACCTCTTTGTTTTTGCACAGTATCGAAAATAATTAAAAGCTGTTCAGTATATAAGGCACAATGATGTGTTTATGAAATTTGCAATTTTTTTATCAAGCCAAGGTGATCTATTAGCTCGCTTTTTATTCTTAGCAAAAGAAGAAACTTTTTTTACCCAGTTCAGCTATTTAAATATTATTAACTACAAGATGCAACATCAACAACCAAAGAGAAATGTTCAAAAAGTATGGTATAATTACTGTTTTATACCAAGTTGTTGCTCAACGATATTGTAAATTACTGTAGTATTTTTGTGACATGGAAACATGTACTGCATAATAATCGGGATGAATATAAAAGAGTAATTTGAGAACTACTTCTGGTGTATCTCGCTGTCCTCTGACTGTATTTTGAATTTCATTGTTAGGTTTGAGGACTTCTTGGCCAGGAAGTGGTCTTCAGAGAAGCGTTTTGGTCTGGAGGGCTGTGAAGTTTTAATCCCAGCTCTTAAAACCATCATTGATACATCAAGTGCTGCAGGCATCGACAGTGTGATCATGGGCATGCCTCATCGGTACTGTAACACACACTACACTCAACCGGTTCAGCTTTTTCTTTGGTTAATTCTGTCAACTCTTTTTCCAGAGGGAGACTCAACGTTCTCGCTAACGTGATCCGTAAAGAGCTGGACCAGATCTTCTGCCAGTTTGACCCCAAGTTAGAGGCAGCAGATGAGGTGAGAAAAAAAATATCATAGAAACAGAAAGGAAATACAGCTTCACCTGACCAAACTGTACCTGCAGGGTTCAGGTGACGTCAAGTACCACCTGGGCATGTACCATGAGAGGATAAACCGTTGGACGGACAAAAATATCACACTGTCACTCATGGCAAACCCCTCCCACCTGGAGGCGGTGGACCCAGTTGTTCAGGGAAAGGCCAAAGCTGAGCAGTTTTACAGAGGAGACACTCAAGGAAAGAAGGTAAAATATGTTACCATAATATGATATGATTTATGTCACAGTTAGGTCCTTTATTTATCTGTCTGTTTATCTGATGCCTTTTGTCCAGGTCATGTCCATATTGATGCACGGGGATGCTGCCTTCGCTGGACAAGGAGTTGTGTATGAGACATTTCACTTGAGCGAGCTCCCCTCCTACACTACACATGGTACGATCCACGTGGTGGTCAATAACCAGGTAGAGGAGAAATTCACCTTTTTTTCTTTTGAAAACGCTTCCGTTTTACTCTGCCAGTGCGACAGTGTTCACGTGTATTATCTGTTCGTCGTCTCCAGATCGGCTTCACCACTGACCCTCGGGTCGCCCGCTCTTCTCCCTACCCCACCGATGTGGCCCGGGTCGTCAACGCTCCCATCTTCCACGTGAACGCCGATGACCCCGAGGCCGTGATGTACGTGTGTCGTGTCGCTGCAGACTGGAGAACAACCTTCAACAAGGATGTTGTCATTGACCTGGTGAGTCTCAGTGTTTTTAAGGGCAGAATACAGTTGGAGGCAAATGTTTTGGCAAACAATTTCTTGCTGAACCAGTGTGCTAAATGTTTATTGGTCCAAACAAAAGTACCTCTGTGTGCGTCTTTTGCTCAGGTGTGTTACAGACGCTTCGGCCACAATGAGATGGATGAACCCATGTTCACTCAGCCGCTGATGTACAAACAGATCCGTCGGCAGGAGCAAGTGCTGAAGAAATACTCTGACAAGCTCATCGCAGAGGGAGTGGGAGCACAACAGGAGTTTGAGGTGTGTGTGTGATTTAATGCTGTTTGTTTGCTGTGTATGTGTTGTGTAACGGCGGTGTGTTTTTTAAGATTTATTTCCATCATTTTCTGTAGTACAGTGGTGTTTAATTTCACTAACACACTGCCCTCAGCCTCAGAGTCAATATGTGCTGCCACTGCCGCTGTATTTGAGTTTCCGTTTAGTGACTGAGTTTCTAGTTCTACAATCACTCACACAGAGTTTATGTTGCTTGGATACATTGGAGGTACTGCATACTGTACTGGATATTTACTGGCACAGTGTAATGAACCTGCTGTGTATAAAACATAAAACTCGATCATAATTTGATGGACATTGTTTACACTTTATGTTTCTGCATCTATTTCTGTTTGTCTGAGCTTCACACAGTTTATGGTTTGTCAGCAGCGTCGCTTTGCAATTTATAAAACAAATGACCGAATAACACAAAATGTGTTTCAGGAAGAAATTGCCAAATATGACAAGATATGTGAGGAAGCTTACGCCAGCTCCAAGGATGAGAAGATCTTACACATACGACACTGGCTGGACTCCCCCTGGAGAAGTAGAACGCTCATTTGTTTAGAGAATTTCTGTGAAGACTTTCAATTTCGGTGTTATAAAAGTTTTTTGTTTGTTTTCTTAGATTTCTTTACATCAGAGGGTGAACCCAGGAGCATGACCTGTGTCTCCACTGGCCTCGAGGAAGAGGTGCTGCAGCACATTGGCCAAACTGCCAGCTCAGTGCCGGTGGAAGATTTCACAATCCATCCAGGTGAGTTAGTCTGGACTGTTGTGTAGATCAGAATAATAATAAAACAAGACTGGAGTGGATTTACATATAACATTGTTACACTGTACCCAGAATTTACACAATCCAGATTACTGCAGTGCCAGATTATGAATATTTTGTAATAAAATGCTGAGGTCTGGTTTATCCAAATAGTGGCTTGCGGGCCACATGTCCACCACAGAGTGGACCAATCTGTGGTCATTTGCAATATGGAGAAAAACTAAGAATCAAAATTAGCGAGTAATTCCAAATATCTCCAGTAGAACAGACCATGAAGGCAACGCTTCCCACAGCCCAGCAACAAGCAATTTACAATGACTCTGTCTATTGGTCCAGGTGTGTCCCGTATCCTGCGTGGCCGAGAAGATCTGGTGAAGAACCGACAGATGGACTGGGCTCTGGGAGAGTACATGGCCTTTGGGTCTCTTCTTAAAGATGGCATCCATGTGCGACTGAGTGGACAGGATGTGGAGCGAGGCACCTTCAGGTGAGGCAGTCTCACATGGCAGCACAGATAAAAAAAAACAAAAAACTTTGAATAATATTTGGTAAAAAAGTGCAGAAAATGGGAATTCTCCTCAATTCAATAAATTCTGCTGTCTCACCTTCAGCTGTCACCTTCTGTTTTAACATCCTCATCTGCACCATGGAGGTTCTAAAGCCACTCTCTACTGATCAAATAAAGAGGGTTTTAAGTATAGTTTTCCATTTAGGTGTTTTATAGCCTCCATGTCCTTGTAGAGTCACGGTTTCTCCTCCCTCTGCATGAGCTCATTCACTGAAATAGCATCGGGGCCGGGTCATAGGTCAGATTACGTCAGCTGAAGCCCATTTCATCCATTTAACACGCCATAAATGTCACTTTTTCTGAATAGAGAAGAAATAGTTGGTCGATTTTTATGATTTGAAAATTGTAGTTCGTTTCTGCTGTTTCATTCTAAGAGACACCGACACACTTTAATGTAACAGAAATAGCCAATGGTATCTGGGCCAAGAATATAACATTAATTTTAATTAACATTAATGATAAGACACAGGCTTAGACGTTCTTTCTTCTTCTCTTTTTCTAGGTTTCAATTTATATCCTTACAATCAAGCAATTTAAATCTGATGAATTTTAAACAAAATGTAAATGAGATAATTACAATGAAAATGGAAAATATTTAAATGATTAAAAAAATAAAATAGTAATAATCATAACCTGGGTAAATAGCTTTAAGTTAATTGAATATTTTATTTAAATGTTAGCATCAGGTAGATTCTTGCACTTGAACTGGTTAATTTAATTATAATAATCACATAGACCAGTATTGAGTGAAACAAAAATAGAAAACACTCATATTGACACTGAATTGGAAAATTTGGGTGGGTGGGTGTTTGGTGGCCAAGTGTGTCTTGTCAGACAGGAGACGTCAGCACGGTCTCCTGAGATCTGTTAAGACCACATGTTGTTGTCATGGTAGAAGGAGGAAACAAGTGACACATGAACAAATCCACGTCCCCCTTTCTCTGTGCCTGTCTCATCACCATCTTCCCCACCACTCCCCCAATCACCATCATTTCTCCAGCAGCTCAGCTTTACCCACACCGTCCCACAGTATCATACATCCCTATAACTAACCGGGGGCTTCAGTTCTTCTTCTACTGAATCACACAAACAGCAGACGTCTGCTTCTTACCTCTCCTGTCTGAGTCAAGAGCAGCTTTCCTTATACAACTGAATCACTGGATTTTTTTTTCACTTAATGAATTTTTTTATCCATCCTACCAACGCTGTATTCCTTTATCCATACACACACACACATTCACACACACCTTTACATCTCTGTTTTGCTGAACATATTGGTATTTTACACTCGAGTGGACCTGGTTGCGTTTCTGTGATGTACGTAACAACGTGGACTAATGGATTCAGTCGCTTTGTTTATATGGGGTGCGTGTGCGCCGTCGTGCGTCCGTTCTTCTGACTAATGGGGCCCCCAGGCACAGGAAATGTGTGTGTGTGTGAGAGTGTTGGTACCGCGTCTGAGGCAATCCCAGAGAAAACATCACATGCTCGTGACTTACCTGTAAATGTGAGAGAGCATGTTGAAAAAGTGAAACATGAAATTAAAAGTTTCTTAATGAGCTCAGAGGATGTAGGGTGCTCTTTTTCTATTTACTTTCAAAAATAAAAAAAGAACTAAAATAAATATATATGTATGTATATATTTCTATGTATAAATATATATTTATCTTTATACAGTTAGTTTTGTGCTCTCATTAGTTCATTATTTTGGCTGAGGATAACTCCTGTGGTTAAAATGCCATGTGAAAGTGAAGACATCACACTGAAGATAAGCATCGAAAGATTTTGGTCATTTCCTGGATTTCTTCCGTCTCTGAATCATGTACCTCCCCCTCCCCCATCAGCTCTCACCCCTGTCAGTGTAGAGATAGTGTGACTGTGCTGGATTTGAAGGCTGATTCATGAGAGCGAATGGACTTTCAAAGCGTATTAATGTTTCCTTGCTTTACATTCCTGAGCTTCGTGCTGGAGGACGATCTGTACAGAGGAGGGAACTGTCCATGGTGCTCACAGTGGCTGAAGGAATTGTGTGTTAGTTTGTTTTACTGCTCTTTCTTTGGTTATGGTTTTAAATATCTTGAGGATTCACTGCAGCTAATTAACACCACACAAGGCCCTAGTTCTAGTTTCCCCCCCTATCTAATTGTCAAAAAAAATTGTCACTGCAGCTAATTAACACCACACAAGACCCTAGTTCTAGTTTTCCCCCCTATCTAATTGTCAAAAAAAACAAACAAATTTAACTTGAATAATTAGGTCTAGCCTCTTCCAATTGTTGAAACTAATATTTTCATATTTTCATGCAATATCCACAGGAGAATTCATACATATTTGGCATCATAAATGCAAATGCTATGAAATCTATAGATTAAAAAAGTAAATTGTAATATGCAAAATACATTTTTAATTATAAAAATTGTCAATGGAAAATTTATAAACTGTGATATGTCCTATGTGTTGCAGTCACCGTCATCATGTCCTCCACCACCAAGAGGTGGACAAACACACCTGCGTTCCCATGAACCACCTGTGGACGAACCAGGCTCTTTACACTGTCTGCAACAGCTCCTTATCAGAGTACGGAGTCCTCGGTAAGACTGGAGTCACACAAAGTCAACAGCAGCTGGAGAACAGATTGTGAATCGTGTTGCCCTGCAATGAAATTACATCATTTGAGTTTGTTTGATATTATTGATTGGATTGATTGGATTGACTCAGGTTTTGAGCTTGGTTTTGCCATGGCCAATCCCAGCGCTCTGATCCTGTGGGAGGCACAGTTTGGGGATTTCCACAACACAGCTCAGTGTATCATTGACCAGTTCATCAGCCCAGGTCAGGCCAAGTGGGTCCGCAACAATGGCATTGTCCTCCTGTTGCCGCATGGGATGGAAGGAATGGTGGGAATGAAAACAGACTGCAGTTTAGTCATTTTTTTCTTTTGAATTTCATTTATTTTTCACTTTCGCTATGTGTCCTCAGGGTCCAGAACATTCGTCGGCTCGACCAGAACGCTTTCTGCAGATGAGCAAAGACGACCCCGATCACTTCCCTGTACGTTCACGTGTACAACTTATTGACTATCATTGAGTGTCAGCTAATCGTAAACGGCTGTCGAGAAAAGTGACCGTAGCTCCGCCTTTTAATGGCTGGCCTTATGTCACAACCAGGTCAATGATAATTGCCTATTTCTGTAGAAGCTTTAAGTCTCTTCATTATGGCCTCCAGAGTGTTGGTATTCATCACTAATGTGGTGCAGGGGTCAGTTCTGAGGAAGGAACCACAGCCGCCTGAATCAGCAGAAGGAGATTCATCTCCTCAAATGGGATATTGATCAATCTATTAGTGGGACAGTTTGCTCGGTCCTGCACCAGTCTGTGTCCGAGGGCCTTCCCCTGGCATCACACCGACCTTTGTTCCCCAGATTAGATTTATACAGCGGCTACACTATGGAACAATAAAGGATGGCAAAAAAACGTTTGCCATCATACATCATATGATGGTAAACATCATACCATTCCGATTCCAAAAGAAATTCAAATGATGTCAGACAACATTTAATTTTTATATATAATAATTTTTATATGTTTGTGAAAATGTATTGACATCAACATCAACGTTGATTTTAAGGTTTCAATACATCAAGTCAGGAATACTGCGTGTTTCTTCTCCGTCTACCTCCTGGTCTTGTTACTTGTTAATTGACTACTTTTGTGTTTCCCCCTGTAAGGAGTTCACCGGAGACTTTGAAGTTCAGCAGCTGTACGACAGTAACTGGATCGTGGTCAACTGCTCCACACCTGCTAACTACTGTCATGTGCTCAGGCGACAGATTCTGCTGCCATTCAGAAAACCGGTGAAGTGTGACTTTCTATCCTACCTGTGTCTCAGCCGATCCTAATTGTTTTACATGAACATTGATGTGATTGTGGGTTTCGGATGATTTTCACTTTGATCACATTTATAGAAGATTTGTTGCTTTGCAAAAATAATAAACCAATGGCAACAAATTTATATTTTGCCATGTCAACAAATCAAACATTTTACAGTAGTATGACCAAAATAAAAATAGGTTAGGCTCCATTATCAGATCCCTATGTAGTGTCATGGTAAAAAACAATCACCAAATATTACATATTACACTATGACATTTAATAATAAAAAATTCAATAATACCTAAAAACCATTGTACTTTTGAGCACAAATGCGTATTTAAAACTGCTACAATTGCTAACATAATATGCAATGTATGCAAAGACAAAAAACAAAATCAAAGATATAACATACTATGGCGTAATTAACAAAGGAAAAAGAATCACTGTTACACCATTGTCTTAGTTAATTGACATATCCCAATTTAAAACCTGACAAATTTTTCCTGATCTGCGTTTCTATTTCTTCTTCTGACCTAAAGCGTTCCTTCTTTGAACTCTAACGTGACGGTATATAGCGCACGTCTACTCGTTTCCTCCGACTGTCAGTTTTCAGCCACAGTGAATGTCTTAACTGATCCCCTGTCGCTCATAAATGCAATGCGCTGCCAAGCATGAGAAAAGTACTTCCCAAGCAAATTAGTGAGCGAGCCAGTAGGGGATAATAGTGCGGTTTGTTTGTTTATTGTGTGTTTTTTATATATAGACAGTCCTGAATTTCTGGAGCTGGTTGGCTGAGCACAGAGGGTTTTAATTACATGATTGTTGGAGAATTGTTTTCTTTTCCCACTGCTGATGTTGCATGGTCTGTGGTGGAAACAAATTAGCGTGAAAAGACAAAGTATTTATTTTGTTAATCTCTGGAGTTTTCCCCGAAAGATGCGGATGACAGCATCAATCTGTTGTTTGTTACTGACAGAAACTTTTTCTTCTTTTCTTTTCTTTTTTAAAAAAGCTGATTATTTTTACCCCCAAATCTCTTCTGAGGCATCCAGACGCACGGTCCAGTTTTGATGATCTTACTGAAGGTTGGGTTTTTCTTCATTCGTGTTAAATGTGACATAATGTGTGTGGTGATATTGTTAATCAGCAGACAGATTTATTTTAATCAACTTTTAATTTTTGTCTTAGTTAGTTAATACCCTTATTCGCTGTAGTTGGGTGTGAAATTCCCATTCATTTTTCAGTCCCTTTAATCCAAAAACTAAATGTCAAAAGTTCACACCGTCAGCATCAAATGTAGTTTGATATCTGCAGGTACTAAATTCAGAAGGATAGTTCCAGAAGAAGGTCCAGCAAGTGAAAGACCAGATCAAGTGAAGAGAGTAATTTTCTGTACCGGCAAAGTCTACTACGACCTGGCCAAAGAGAGGAAACAGCACAACCTAGAGGGAGATGTTGCAGTCACCAGACTTGAGCAGGTGTTTAGTTATCTCTCCCATCTGATCTGTCATGGATTCACTGACATTTGTTGTTATAACTACATCCCCCCTCCCTCACCCTCTCCCTGTCCCACATTTGTTGTTATAACTACATCCCCCCCCACCCTCTCCCTGTCCTTCCCCCCTACAGATCTCTCCGTTCCCATTTGACCTGGTTCGAGCAGAGGCTGAGAAGTACGCTAACGCTGAGCTGGTCTGGTGTCAGGAGGAACACAAAAACATGGGCTACTATGATTATGTTCGCCCGCGGTTCCTCACGGTGGTGGCCAACAAGAGGCCTCTGTGGTATGACCTTGGTATTTGTTCACAGAAAACCTCGGGTCTGGTTAAGGCTTTCACAAAACCTGAGTGTTTTTTCCAGGTATGTGGGGCGGGACCCGGCAGCTGCTCCGGCAACAGGGAACAAGTCCACGCACCTGAACGAGCTGAGGAGGTTCATGGACACGGCTTTCGACCTGAGCGCCTTCCTGGAGCAGAACCTGTAGAGGAGATGAAGGCTGTAGGTTCACGTAGGTTTCATCTCCAACCACTGAACTTGAACTTAGTATAGTTTTATAAGCCACATGATGTAGGTCATTGTATGAGTCAAATCCAAAGTCAACTTTATTGTCAAAGTCAGGCTGCAGTATAAGTTATAGTCATCGCTAATAAAGCTTAAATCTAAGTTAAATAACCCACATAGTGTGGTGGTCTAAGAAACCACTTCATGTTGCGTAGCACTTGTAATGATTTTTTTAGCACATTTTTGAAGAAAAATCTCAGGATTACTATGATACCATTGAAAATGTTACATTTGGTCTTAGATTGGTCTGCTTTAATCACACAACCAATTATGTTCAAGGTCAGTTTTACGTCATTAATCAGTTCCAAACCTCGTCAGACTTTGTGTAGAGTCTAAAGTAGAAAATATATAAAACTTTAAAGCCATCATTTTTATTAGCCATAAAACTGCCAGTGTGTTTGTAAGTCAATGGTGAAGTAGCACCAGAATAACACACACACTCACACACTCACACTCGAGAGATAGTTGAGATTGATGGCAGCCACTGTTATGGTGGTAGCTTCGGTGCTGTAGTCACAATACCTTTACAAATACTATGCAGTATATATTGTGTATTTCTTTTGTACATGAGTGGCTGGAACTGCTGGATGCTGACGAACCACTGGCTGTTGATTGTCGACACTGTCGTTGAATCACACATATATCCCAGTGAGTAGTTGTGGAATTGAAGGCATCGGTACGGTAACTTTAGTGCCTGTATTTGTCATCGCTTCCGTCACTGTTAGTCAAGGAGTGTGTATTTATCTTCACACCTCGCTTCACCAGGAGACACGAGCCAGCTGGCAGTGAGACTTCGAGCCACGTTTCCTACTTAGGACATAAGGCTCCGCTTCCTCTACGGAGGCTGTGGGATGCAAACAAATCACAGCAAAGCCTTGGGTGCTTCGTAGAGCAGTAGTGACGCTCGATTGTCACATTAGAAAACCCCAGGTAATAAACAGAACTGCTGGAATTTGTAGTTGGCGAGAGAAAATACTATTTTTTCTACTTCAAACTTAAAGACTAATAAGGAACGTTGAAAGATGTGTTGTGATTTGTTTTTCTAGATTTTAGCAGTACTGAATAAGAACATTCTGTCTGAAATGAACATTTCTTTTTTCTTTCTATGATGTTGTTTTATATTTACATGCAATAACAATGATAATAACATGCAGGTAGGAATTTCCGTAGGTTTCTGAACTACATCCCTCACAACACCACTGGTTTTGATCATTTTTGTTTTTTGTTGGCATCTAGGCAGCCCAGGGAACAGCACTGGTCATCACGATCCCATAAAAAAATTTAACATGAATAATTAGGTCTAGCCTCTTCCAATTGTTGAAACTAATATTTTCATATTTTCATGCAATATCCACAGGAGAATTCATACATATTTGGCATCATAAATGCAAATGCTATGAAATCTATAGATTAAAAAAGTAAATTGTAATATGCAAAATACATTTTTAATTATAAAAATTGTCAATGGAAAATTTATAAACTGTGATATGTCCTATGTGTTGCAGTCACCGTCATCATGTCCTCCACCACCAAGAGGTGGACAAACACACCTGCGTTCCCATGAACCACCTGTGGACGAACCAGGCTCTTTACACTGTCTGCAACAGCTCCTTATCAGAGTACGGAGTCCTCGGTAAGACTGGAGTCACACAAAGTCAACAGCAGCTGGAGAACAGATTGTGAATCGTGTTGCCCTGCAATGAAATTACATCATTTGAGTTTGTTTGATATTATTGATTGGATTGACTCAGGTTTTGAGCTTGGTTTTGCCATGGCCAATCCCAGCGCTCTGATCCTGTGGGAGGCACAGTTTGGGGATTTCCACAACACAGCTCAGTGTATCATTGACCAGTTCATCAGCCCAGGTCAGGCCAAGTGGGTCCGCAACAATGGCATTGTCCTCCTGTTGCCACATGGGATGGAAGGAATGGTGGGAATGAAAACAGACTGCAGTTTAGTCATTTTTTTCTTTTGAATTTCATTTATTTTTCACTTTCGCTATGTGTCCTCAGGGTCCAGAACATTCGTCGGCTCGACCAGAACGCTTTCTGCAGATGAGCAAAGACGACCCCGATCACTTCCCTGTACGTTCACGTGTACAACTTATTGACTATCATTGAGTGTCAGCTAATTGTAAACGGCTGTCGAGAAAAGTGACCGTAGCTCCGCCTTTTAATGGCTGGCCTTATGTCACAACCAGGTCAATGATAATTGCCTATTTCTGTAGAAGCTTTAAGTCTCTTCATTATGGCCTCCAGAGTGTTGGTATTCATCACTAATGTGGTGCAGGGGTCAGTTCTGAGGAAGGAACCACAGCCGCCTGAATCAGCAGAAGGAGATTCATCTCCTCAAATGGGATATTGATCAATCTATTAGTGGGACAGTTTGCTCGGTCCTGCACCAGTCTGTGTCCGAGGGCCTTCCCCTGGCATCACACCGACCTTTGTTCCCCAGATTAGATTTATACAGCGGCTACACTATGGAACAATAAAGGATGGCAAAAAAACGTTTGCCATCATACATCATATGATGGTAAACATCATACCATTCCGATTCCAAAAGAAATTCAAATGATGTCAGACAACATTTAATTTGTATATATAATAATTTTTATATGTTTGTGAAAATGTATTGACATCAACATCAACGTTGATTTTAAGGTTTCAATACATCAAGTCAGGAATACTGCGTGTTTCTTCTCTTACTTACTTGTTAATTGACTACTTTTGTGTTTCCCCCTGTAAGGAGTTCACCGGAGACTTTGAAGTTCAGCAGCTGTACGACAGTAACTGGATCGTGGTCAACTGCTCCACACCTGCTAACTACTGTCATGTGCTCAGGCGACAGATTCTGCTGCCATTCAGAAAACCGGTGAAGTGTGACTTTCTATCCTACCTGTGTCTCAGCCGATCCTAATTGTTTTACATGAACATTGATGTGATTGTGGGTTTCGGATGATTTTCACTTTGATCACATTTATAGAAGATTTGTTGCTTTGCAAAAATAATAAACCAATGGCAATAAATTTATATTTTGCCATGTCAACAAATCAAACATTTTACAGTAGTATGACCAAAATAAAAATAAAAATAGGTTAGGCTCCATTATCAGATCCCTATGTAGTGTCATGGTAAAAAACAATCACCAAATATTACATATTACACTATGACATTTAATAATAAAAAATTCAATAATACCTAAAAACCATTGTACTTTTGAGCACAAATGCGTATTTAAAACTGCTACAATTGCTAACATAATATGCAATGTATGCAAAGACAAAAAACAAAATCAAAGATATAACATACTATGGCGTAATTAACAAAGGAAAAAGAATCACTGTTACACCATTGTCTTAGTTAATTGACATATCCCAATTTAAAACCTGACAAATTTTTCCTGATCTGCGTTTCTATTTCTTCTTCTGACCTAAAGCGTTCCTTCTTTGAACTCTAACGTGACGGTATATAGCGCACGTCTACTCGTTTCCTCCGACTGTCAGTTTTCAGCCACAGTGAATGTCTTAACTGATCCCCTGTCGCTCATAAATGCAATGCGCTGCCAAGCATGAGAAAAGTACTTCCCAAGCAAATTAGTGAGCGAGCCAGTAGGGGATAATAGTGCGGTTTGTTTGTTTATTGTGTGTTTTTTATATATAGACAGTCCTGAATTTCTGGAGCTGGTTGGCTGAGCACAGAGGGTTTTAATTACATGATTGTTGGAGAATTGTTTTCTTTTCCCACTGCTGATGTTGCATGGTCTGTGGTGGAAACAAATTAGCGTGAAAAGACAAAGTATTTATTTTGTTAATCTCTGGAGTTTTCCCCGAAAGATGCGGATGACAGCATCAATCTGTTGTTTGTTACTGACAGAAACTTTTTCTTCTTTTCTTTTCTTTTTTAAAAAAGCTGATTATTTTTACCCCCAAATCTCTTCTGAGGCATCCAGACGCACGGTCCAGTTTTGATGATCTTACTGAAGGTTGGGTTTTTCTTCATTCGTGTTAAATGTGACATAATGTGTGTGGTGATATTGTTAATCAGCAGACAGATTTATTTTAATCAACTTTTAATTTTTGTCTTAGTTAGTTAATACCCTTATTCGCTGTAGTTGGGTGTGAAATTCCCATTCATTTTTCAGTCCCTTTAATCCAAAAACTAAATGTCAAAAGTTCACACCGTCAGCATCAAATGTAGTTTGATATCTGCAGGTACTAAATTCAGAAGGATAGTTCCAGAAGAAGGTCCAGCAAGTGAAAGACCAGATCAAGTGAAGAGAGTAATTTTCTGTACCGGCAAAGTCTACTACGACCTGGCCAAAGAGAGGAAACAGCACAACCTAGAGGGAGATGTTGCAGTCACCAGACTTGAGCAGGTGTTTAGTTATCTCTCCCATCTGATCTGTCATGGATTCACTGACATTTGTTGTTATAACTACATCCCCCCTCCCTCACCCTCTCCCTGTCCCCCCTACAGATCTCTCCGTTCCCATTTGACCTGGTTCGAGCAGAGGCTGAGAAGTACGCTAACGCTGAGCTGGTCTGGTGTCAGGAGGAACACAAAAACATGGGCTACTATGATTATGTTCGCCCGCGGTTCCTCACGGTGGTGGCCAACAAGAGGCCTCTGTGGTATGACCTTGGTATTTGTTCACAGAAAACCTCGGGTCTGGTTAAGGCTTTCACAAAACCTGAGTGTTTTTTCCAGGTATGTGGGGCGGGACCCGGCAGCTGCTCCGGCAACAGGGAACAAGTCCACGCACCTGAACGAGCTGAGGAGGTTCATGGACACGGCTTTCGACCTGAGCGCCTTCCTGGAGCAGAACCTGTAGAGGAGATGAAGGCTGTAGGTTCACGTAGGTTTCATCTCCAACCACTGAACTTGAACTTAGTATAGTTTTATAAGCCACATGATGTAGGTCATTGTATGAGTCAAATCCAAAGTCAACTTTATTGTCAAAGTCAGGCTGCAGTATAAGTTATAGTCATCGCTAATAAAGCTTAAATCTAAGTTAAATAACCCACATAGTGTGGTGGTCTAAGAAACCACTTCATGTTGCGTAGCACTTGTAATGATTTTTTTAGCACATTTTTGAAGAAAAATCTCAGGATTACTATGATACCATTGAAAATGTTACATTTGGTCTTAGATTGGTCTGCTTTAATCACACAACCAATTATGTTCAAGGTCAGTTTTACGTCATTAATCAGTTCCAAACCTCGTCAGACTTTGTGTAGAGTCTAAAGTAGAAAATATATAAAACTTTAAAGCCATCATTTTTATTAGCCATAAAACTGCCAGTGTGTTTGTAAGTCAATGGTGAAGTAGCACCAGCAGTGTGTTTGT